TGGAGTTTGAGTCAGGATTTTCTCAAATCTCAGTCACTGCTGCTCCTATCAACTCTCATCAGATAAGCTTCTTATAGCAGATGATGATTAATACAGAGACCTACAGCTGTTCAACCTGCAGAGAATAAAAGACTGCAGAGTGCTCAGCTATAAATAGAACACCTATATCACACCCACTCCTTCTAGAGCTCAGGGATCATGGCTGAAGAGGGGACAGAAAGACTGTAAGAGCCAGAAATAGTGGATTAATACAAGGAGACTGTTTTCTGGACACAACAGGGAAGTTGCATATACGAAAACCCAGCACTTGTGACAGCATGAACTAGATCTAGGCAAGACCAAGCCAGACAAAATGGCAACATGGATGGGGGAGGTGGGCAAGAAGCACCAGCCCTAGCTGAGAAATTATGGGCAATTGATAGCTGCTAGGAGAAAGAGAGTCAGTTTTAAGGTTTTGATGACAGGTAAGCTGACCAGGTTCCAGGAAATGGACCTACACCCAAGAGCATTTGGGGAACACAAATTAGACTCAAAAGGCCTTTTAAAATAATAATAGAGGACGTGAAGTTAGGGGATACTAAATTGGTGGTAGAAAACAGGGAAGGGATCTCTATCAAAATGCATTGTACAAAATTCTCAAAAGAATCAATAAAAATATTTTTTTAAAGTAACACCATATGAAGTTTCCTTTATATTAAAAACCATTGTTCTAAGTATGTTTATTTCTCTGTATGTTTTTAAATAGTACTGTTTCTGGGTAAAACTATAGAACATATTTAAATTTGTATTCAAACACATCTCCATGCCTCTTAACAAAATAAAAAGATATGTAGCTGAAGGTCACTCTTAAGAACAGTCTAAGGGTTCATAGTCATGAGTAAAATTGTAATTTCAGGTGGCATCTGCTTATTTCAAAGACTTTCACCTGCTACTAATTGGAGTCATCTGTTTAGCAACATCAATAGAAAAATGGAATTTGCACAGGAGGATTGCTCTGAGGATGGTGATGATGGTGGGTGTGAATCCAGCATGGTAAGTAATATATTTGCTGCATCCAGTTTATATTCTAAACAGACCGTTTTGTGCAGAGCAATTAACAAATAAGCAATTCACACCCAGGGAATTGATTGAATAGCAGTGTAACTCTGAAAATATGAAAGTACTGTAAAGTGTGCTTGAGTTGTAGGAGGAAAAAAAAAAACAACTTCCCTTTCACTGCAGGTCTAATTACAGGGAGACTGGAATAAATGCACACAACTCTCTCACCTTTAATGCACCACTGGAGTCAGAGGAGAGAAGCCTTGAACCTCAACAAATGAGATTGCTAGCCTTCAGAGTAGATTTCATTCCTATCTTGTTTGTTTGGCTGATTATACATTCAAAACTCATTCAAGAACATCCTTTATCAATAGGGAGGATGGTATGAACCAAAGACAAAGACATTACTGACAAAATATAAATGTGTGCAGAAAAATTTCAAGGTGAACATGTTTCTCTTCACATCACAGCTGTGAAGTGAAACAGTCAATTAAGAATTGCTTCTATATGTGATATTATTCATGTGGCTGATTTTCCCTTCACTAAGATGAGTGGTTTTTTTTTTTTTCACTAAATTAATTGGCTATTTGGGTTCTATTCTACTTCTAGTTACAATCATGAAAGTCAGTAAAGGAGCACTCCCAGTGTCACAATCATTTGCATAATGATATTTTACTTTAAAGCCTTGGGTGATTTTTCCCCTCTTATCTTACTTTGGAAAAAAAGAAAAAAATTATTGATTTTTGTTGTATAATTCCTTCAAGGGCATAGCAGACTCTGTGTTGACCACTTGTGGAGCAAATTGTTTTGCTAAATAGTAATACTGTGTGCTTATGCATCCATACATATTTGTGTATATATAGCACACCTGAGACAAATTTGAAAGAAATGTTACTTAGAAAATTTATAGTGTAAATGTATTTAAAGTGTTTCATTCCTTAAAATTTATGTATTTATTTATTGATTGATTTTGTGTGTATGAGAGTTTTGCCCACCTATCTGTAAGTGCACCATGTGTGTGCAGTGACTGTGGAGGTCAGAAGAGGACATTAGAACCCCTGAAACTGGAGTTAGTTGTCAGGTGGCTGCTGAGAACCGAACCCTGGTCCTCTTAACAGCCAGTGCTTTTAACTGCTGAGCCTTCTTTCCAGCCCCAAGTCTTCCACTCTTAAATAGAATGGAGCCTTGCTTCTTGGGTACCATGGGTACCATAGAAATACATTTTTCCTGACTATATAGCCATTGCTCCCGAAAAGCAGATAATACAGAGCAAAAATCCTGTCCATGATGCCACTATGCAGCTTTTTAGTTTAAGGCATTTTTACCAGTAGAAGTTCTATCTGATCCTATTTTTTTAATATAAAAAGACTTCACATCATACTGATATCGTAAGTTAAAAGTTTTCATTTTTAAGTTGAGAATGATTTCTTTTGAGAGCAGATTTATAAGAAGTTTCACACATAGAAAATATTCACCAAACCTGAATCTGAAACATGATGTGGAATTGTTCATGTAAATCTATTTTTATAAAGAATCAGAGAATTTTATGAACAGCTCTGTATGGGAAGACCTAATTCTGGATGATTTCTGGGATCTCCTACACAGATTAGGTTTTCCCCAAATATAATTTTGAAAGTTTATATAAATGGTTTAAAATCGTAACTCTTAGATCATTTATTTTAAGGATGAATTACTCTATAAGAGAAGACAATGTAATAAATCTAATTCTTGACAACAGGAAGGAGTGTCATGTTCAGGAGAGCATAAATAATAGAATCTACAAAAAATTCTGAAACTTCATTTTAGAAAGTGATTTTAGTCACTTTTCCACACACCTAATATTGAACCAGAAGAGTGAATAAGTAAAAGGAGATTTATAAATATTAGCCCCATTCCTTGTTCTTTCGTCTTTGCACTGCACACAGTAACAAACAGAGATATGGCCAAAAGATAAAATAAAAGTAAGGGGGCAGGAATTCATTAGTTAGTTGTACATTCATCTTACTTTTATCCAAAGGCAAGAAGTTATTCATAAAAAGCACTCAAGTATTAGGGTAATGCAAGCTGTGGAGCAATAGACCAATTTACTGTTTGATATGAGATTAATCATTTATCTGGTTTTAGAGAGACTATACCCATCATACACTAATACTTGAGGGGATAGATATCTTAAGAACGCTACACTTACATGCTTTAATTTGATTTATACCTGTCTATGACTGTACTCAGAGTTCATCATTTGGGCAGAAACTTGACCTTCTACAATTGGACATCTTTAATTCCCAACTTGTGAACCATACTCTTTACAGTTAACTATAGAACGCTACATGAGAGGGAGAGAGCACAGGTTCACACTAAAGACCCTCTCATTTCAGGCTGACGTTGGGGTTCATGAGCAGCACTGCCTTCTTATCTATGTGGCTTAGCAACACCTCTACTGCTGCCATGGTGATGCCCATCGTGGAGGCTGTGGCGCAGCAGATCATCAGTGCTGAAGCAGAGGCCGAGGCCACTCAGATGACTTATTTCAATGAATCTGCCACCCATGGACTGGAAATTGATGGTATCATGTGTTGATATGGCCACAGTGGGGTCTAGTCATTTGGGCAATAGGCATAAATTCAACAATGCTGGAATATAGTTTTAATTCACTGTGTATAAATGCATGGAATGCATTTAGCCTCCCCCTTTTTATAGTCCCCAGTATCTATTCAGATTAATTATACAAATATTTTACTTTAAAATAAATGTCAAATTTATATTCTCTGACAGAAAGAGGAAGGATCCAGTCACTGTGGAGATATACTCTCATGTCTTTATCAGGAGATGTAGAGGCTACTCTTCCCTTTCCTGAATGATTTTTCTGCATAATGTTAGAAATCTTAAATTCCTATATCCTATTTGGGTACAGCATCAAATTTCACTGTGGTTATTTCTGGCTCTGATGAACTGGTCTGATGCAATAAGAAGATGTTGAGGAGATATTTGTGTTTATAAAATATTCTAAGATGAATATGATATCAGTATAAGGTAAACTTGTTTGAACTAATGCTTCCATCTTCTTGTGCATACACACACACACACACGCACACACACACACACACAAACACTGAGAGTCAATGATAACCCCTTATTTAAATTGCTTTTTTATTCAATATTTTGCAGAAACTGTTATTGAACAAGAAACAAATGGGAGGACAGAGAAAACAAAGCCAGTCCCAGGGTAAAGACTATTGACATTTTGATGAGGATTTTCCAAATCATATTTTAATAAAATTATAAACTGAGTCAATTTATGTTTCAGAAACAGTAATGGCTCAGGGAAAGTTTCAAGCAAGATGGAGATGGAAAAGGTACGTTACATTTGATTCTTTCTAAATAATTATACCCAAATTATATTAGAACTATAGTTAGATACATACACATTTTAAAACGTGTTACTTTGTATGACTAAGTCCCAGTTTGGGCTAATAGTTTGACAAGTCTTCATGGATAGACCTCCAAATTGGAACCATTCAGGCTCTGAAAAGTAGCATCATTATTTTTTCCTTTTATTGGAATCATGGTGATAGCAGCCAGCCAATGGAGTTTAAAGAATATAGTTCTAGTCTCAGAATATTGTTTCATTTTTCACTAAATTTTTTCTGGTTTTCACTAGTATCACCCTTGTTTTCTCTAGGTTAAGAACTTAGAACAACAGCTCTTTTTCATATAATTACAAAGGATCTCATAATTTTAGTGCTTCCATCACTATTAATAAATCAATAGAAAACCCCACTACACTAGGTTGCACTGGGAGCAATGTTTCTCAAGACTACTGAAAAATAACCCTGCAGAGAAATAGTCCTACAGTAACCATGTCACTGAAGAGGAAAGTGAGGCCTGTGTTCCTTCATCAGGCGATATAATCCATTAGCATGTAACTCAATGGGAAAGGGAACATTCTAGTTTATAGAAATTTTCAAGGAAAGAGCAATTTCTATGTAAAGTAAAAATAAATGTAAGATAAGTTTTAAGTCATTATCCATGTCTATATGAGAGGTTTTTAAGAAACAGATTTCATA